AAACACTTAATAACTTTTCCCTTTAAAAGTTTTCTAATAACTGATTTTTATGGAATGTGGTAGGACTTTTACTTTCTAGTTTATAAATCGGCATTGTTTCAGTTCCTTAAATGAACTGCTTTTAGAGTCCGAAATAAAGATTTTTTAAAATGTCCTTGAATGACAACAAACCAAATGACAATGAGGAATCTTTGCTCTGCCCACCCAGGCAGGGAGGGAGGGTTCTCCCCACATTCCTTCCAGGCATGCTGCATGGCCCTGGTCTGAACCCCCAGGACCTTGCAGCTAGCTATTTAAGTGCCAGAAAAGGTTAAGTTCCCAGAACAGAAGGCGCAGCCTCAGCAACACAGGTTATCTTGGGTCACCAAGCATCAGAGGCCCTCATGAATCCTGGAGAGCACTGCTGGAATGGGAAGACACCATTCAGAAAAAAAAAACTTGGAATCTTAGATCCCAGGACATTTCTGTTCCGAGATGATTGTTTGAGCAACCCTGCAAGAATGCCAGGCTTAACCTCTCCATTGTTCCTGAAGAGGTTCCACAAGCTGAGTGCCTGTAGCTGCCCTTGGTGCCTCTGCCACCTATAGGTGGAAGGCTGATGGTGCAAGGCACTTGTCTGCTGGAAATAGCTCCCAAATGGAAATCACAACTCAAGAGAGCTGTGTCTAGGCATTATCTCAAACCTCACAACCTCAAAGGTAGGCAAGGCAAATGCTGGCCCACTGCATGGCTGCCAGCACTAGCCTTCACATTCCACCAAAGCTTTACAGATCAGAGGTGGCCTTCCCTTGCTGATCTGCATCCCTTATCTTCCTTTAGGTAAAATGCCTTACCTAAGAACTGTGGTTCTGTGCTACAATGCACCTTTCCTAAAAGAGCTGTCTCTCAAAGCAATCCACTTAACAGCACTCTAAGGTCTGAAACAGACACCCCTACAAAAGCCTCCCATATCATTCTGAGATGGCCCATATTCACCGACTGCCTTTAGAAAAAACATTTCAAAATGCTCTACCCAAGCCCATCTGCACTCTTGCAAAGTTGCCCAGCAGCTTGGCTTTCCTCCTGCTGAAGCCCACAGGGAAGCTGCCTTCCTTTTATCTTCCCCCCACAATCCCCACAGGCTCGGTGGCATGTAGAACATAGCTTCTAGTCCCCCACTGCCTTCCCTCTGATGGTTTCAGGAACAGAGTACAGGGCTATACACATCGCTGTTAACTGGCATGAGTAGGAAAAGGACTACAAACATCCCTCCCTCACCAAGAGCCACATGAAATTTCATGAATGACCTTCAGACCTAGTTACTTAAAATAATTTGAAGGACACCTGAAATATTGTGGCAGCTTACAGATGCAATTGATTCAGAGGGGATGCCCGTTTAGACCATGCAGTAAAAAGAGCCAGGACTCAGAACACAGCACATCTAGAACAAGGTGCAACAAAGCCTGTCAGGCCTTGAGGCAAGGTGGTCCAACAGTCAGAGCTCCTTGGACCAGTTGCAACCCACCTAGTTACCCAGCCCAACCATACATAATGTTCGTGCAACTATAGACAGTATGGGGGGTGACAAGTAAGCAAGACGGAAATGTTAGGAACCCAGACCACCATTTAAATCCACTCATTTCCAGCACCATGCTTCCAAAAATATGTAAATAAAGTAGGAGCTACTGTCTAGCTCATTCAGTAAATTTCAGCTACCTGTAACTGGCTGGGGAGGTAAGATTTCAAAGCAGTTTACCATTAGGGGAAAAAAAAAAAATGCTACCTGTGGTAGGTATTCACATAGATAGCAATGTTTTGGAACCCTACAAACCAGTTACAACTGATTAAAGTCAAGAATAGAGGCTAAAAGTGGTGGGTATTTTTTACACTGTCTCAAAGTATCTTTCCAATAGTGATAGATAAGAGGTAAAACTTCAGGAGCCCTAGCCCATTTGGCTCAGTGGATAGATTCCAGTCAAGGGCACATACCTCAGTTGCAGGCTCTATCCCCAGCTTTGGTCAGGGCACATGTGAGAGGCAACCAATTGGTGTCTTTCTCACATCAATGTTTCTCTCTCCCTCTCCTGCCCACTCTCTTTAAAAATCAATTGGAAAATGCCCTAGGGTGAGGATTAACAAAAAAATAAACTTCAGAGAAAACCTGGAAAGCACCACGTTTAGGGCTCATTCACAACCAATAAGATGGGCATATCCTTTCTGAGGACACAGCATCATATACAGCCTGTCAAAACTGCAAACCAAAAGCAGGCAAACCCAGATCTGGGGACCTTCTGACACATTAAGTCTTCAAAACTGTTGATGTTAAGATTAGAACAGAGGCCATGAGGACTAGACAGACATGGAAGCCCTTCACCACTGCCAAGACTGAGCTGCAACTGCAATCTTGGGCTTTATTTTCCACAAAAACACTCCATATATCATAGTTTGTTATTTTATTATACACTTTATAAAATGTCCAAACACAAACATCCACCACCCACATCTTTCGTAACAAGATGATCTGGCCATTTTCTGAAGCAAACCAAATTGATTTTTATACCCTTAAGATATTTCTCTCAAATATTTATATTCCAACTACAAAAATGGTACTGCAAAGGGTACAGAAAGACAAATGAGGCATTCTTGCTGGTTATAGCACAAACATGACTACTAAAGAACTGAGTAAGGGGGAAAGTTACCTAATTAAGGAATGGAATGTTTGTTACCTAGGACAAGTATAGCTGAATTAGTTGTTGTAACTCGCACCTACCCTAAAATAACTGGTTTGTAGGGACAAGGGCACATGAAATAGTGAGACTACATGTGCCAGGCAATTGCTTATACTTGTTTCCAGAAGGCACATATTTCCTGCACCCTTTCTTCATAAGTAAAGACAAATTAGAGAACCCACTTTTAAATTCTGCCCATTTTGAGTTAACTGCGTAAAGAAAAGATCAGTTATGTTGAAGGAGCATGTAACAGAAATATTTTTAAACCAACATGGTTAAGTGTTAAGATTTTTAGAAATCAAAATGTTTATTAACATAATTTTAAAGAAAGTCAAAGGTAATAAATCTTCTGTGGTAATGATTTAAGTGCAAGTGATGCTGGCTTTCACATTCATATCCTTCATTCAGAGAAAAGGCAGATCAGTTGTTCTTGAACAAGTCAATGCAGCTCTGCAAGAGGGAGACATTGTTCTGGAAGAAAAACAAGTCAAGGTAGACCAATGAGCCAATCGAATCCAAGACTTCCTACATGTCTGTAAGAATTAAACTCAAACCCATCGACCTAGCTTTTCTCAAGATTTAAAGCCAGTCAAACTTGGTTGGTGTTTTACTTCATTAAATCACAACTTAATCAGCCCTGGCTGGTGTGGCTCAGTCGGTTGGAGCATCGTCCTATACACCAAAAGGTGCTGGGCTCAATTCCCAGTTGGGGTGCATGTGGGAGGTAACTGATCGATATTTTTCTCACACCAATTTTTCTGTCCCTTCCTCTCTCTAAAATCAATTTTTTAAAAAAATTTAAAATCACAAATGAATTAGTCTACAATCCTTCTCACCCGATTTCATGTTGGGAAGATCGTCTCCCTTAGAGGTCTGGGATTGCTTACAGCTAAAGAGCTAGTGGATGCAGTTCCAGCACCTCCACCATCCCAGCCCCAGGTTTGCACCAAACGCAGTCATGCTAATTCTGCTTAAGTGAATTAACCTAACTACTACATAAATAAGTTGTTCTTTGAAGATAAAGGCCTTGAGGAGACTAGATAAAAAGTTGCAGCCCTAGCCAGTTTGGCTCAGTGGATAGAGCATAGGCCTGTGGACTGAAGGGTCCCAGATTTGATTCTGGCCAAAGGCACATGCCTGGGTTGCGGGCTCGATCCCTACTAGGGGGCATGCAGGGGGCAGCCGATCAATGATTCTCTCTCATCATTGATGCTTCTATCTCTCCCTCTCGTTCTCTAAAATCAATAAAAATATTTTTAAAAAATATTTTTAAATAAATAAAAAAAATGTATATTTTTTAAACTTGCTAAACATTAGTTATGGGTGGAATTTTAAATGAGATAACAAATGATAAATATTTATATAGGACTTCGCACAAATCGTCTCATAGTTCTCACTTTAAAGAATTCAGAAAACTTAAAATACCCAGAACATTATGGGTATAATTTATGTATGATACTTTAAAACTCCAATTTAAAAGGACCTGAACTTAAGAGACAAGTGAATAAACACATCTATGTTGTAGTGACAATAAAGGAATTCAAAACACACAAATGCTCTAACTCTAAGTCTTCTTGCTTTAACCAATGCTGATGGCTGGTGACAGTCCCTCCTCCAATTCCCTACTGCCCCAAGGGCTGACCCAGGGGCCCTGGACCAGACAGCACTTTTGGGGGGCCAATCTCAGCTGTACCCCGGAACCTCCCAAGAAAACCATACCCAGAAGTTCTGAGTGAATGGGCCTGGGCAGCAAAAAGTCTTAAAAATTCCCTAGTAAAGTCTAATGTGCACCCACCATTGAAAACCTTTGTTCTCCAACTTTTCTGTGCAAACTAAGCTCGACATCAATATATATTTTTCTTCCTTTCTAAACCAAAAAGGAGTATCAGAAGACATTTAGCAAAACTAATGACAATTTATTTTAAAAATTGTTTTCCATGAAAACTCCAGATAATTAAGAGCTGTAAAATGGTATGATAGGTGTGTTCACAAATTATTAGAACAGATTCTTCAAAGTGTGGTCTACAGAACTTTGAGAAGGAGGCAGGGGAGCCACCATCAAGAATGCTCTTTTCAAAAGCAGTGTTTCACCAAGACATTATGAATTTGTTTTGCAGTAGATAAACATACTGTAACAACTGGCTCCCACCTACACTACAGGGGATTAAAGCCACAAAGCAAACCCCACCTGCTTAAAGATATTGGGATAACTGGAAAATAATTAAAAACAAACAAACAAACAACCAACAACAAAAAACCTGAAAAAGTTGTTGGCTTAATCTGAATACTTACCCTAGCATGCTTTATTTCCAGTTCAGACATTTCAATTAAATTCTTTCTAAATGCTGCCACTCTCTTTCGTTTGAAATTGCTTAGTTCTACAAAACAGAAAGTTTCAAAAAAGTTAAGAATTTTCATCTTTAACTTCCAAATATCATTCTTACAAATAAATGATCTCCAAAGCTTTGAAGCACTGCCATATTTTCTCACATTTCTATTATTTCTACAATTAGTACACATCCCATTCTATGGACACTGTATTATGCTTGCCATTACCTTTAAATAAGCAACACCACTCAATCACTGAAGAATCAAAATTCAGGACTATTGGAGAATCTCTAGGATGAGCAGCTTTGTCCTTAACCAAAGTTTGTAGACAGAGGGTTGGGAGGTGGTGAGCCACACATACTTGAACCAACGGCTTTTTTTTAAGGACATTTTTAAAAATGCATTTTACTGATTTTTTACAGAGTAGGAAGGGAGAGGGGTAGAGAGTTAGAAACATCAATGAGAGAGAAACATTGATCAGCTGCCTCCTGCACACTCCCCACTGGGGATGTGCCCACAACCACGGTACATGCCCTTGACCAGAATCGAACCTGGGACCCTTGAGTCCCCAGGCCGATGCTCTATCCACTGAGCCAAACCGGTTAGGGCATAAGGACATTTTTTTTTAATTCTGAAAACCCTTCCCTGCTCAAATTGGTGCGGTAGGGTACTTAGGAGCAAATTTATCCACTCGTACCATGTCTATACAGCACTGTCCAATGGAAGGATAATGCAAGCAGCCACATTAAGAACTAAAAACTCATACACAAAATTTTTATACTGATGTGTTAATAGCCACATCTTGGCTAAATGGGTATTCCCAGATGTCAAGATAAGCTCCCCAGGATCAAGACTCTACACACTAACCCTTCTGTCTCCCCACACCATTGTTTCTCTATGCTCATTCAAATAACTCAAATCCGTTCAGCCACAAATCTTATAAAGAACTGGGACTAAAGTTAAGACCCGTTAATCTCTGAATGGTCTGTAATATGGTACTTTTAAATATCATACACCCAGGCTTATCCTAATATATAAAAATCCAGGGTCCGTAACATCCAAAACGACTGAAGGCTCGACCAACTGGAAGTCAGTCCTGCAGTCAGTGCTGGGTTGCCGTGGTGACCCAGCACTGACTGTGCTGCTTCAGTTGCTGTGACCCAGCACTGACTGCCGAGGGGGCTGCGGATCAGGCCCAGAGAGGGGCCTAAGGAGAGGCCTCTGTGGCAGCTGTTGATCAGCCCTTGCCTCTCTTTCCCTCGAGGCCTGGCCAGCAGCCACGCGGCCTCTTTCTTAGGCCTCTGCTGGGGCTGCTAATCAGCCCCGCCTCTCTGATCAGGCCCGTTGATATGCCTGGAGATGCTGACTGGCATAGAAACCAACCAATCAGAACCAAATCTGGGTGAACTGCGAAGGCAGTGGGGGCTGAGGGTTTTAAAGGCTTTCACCCTTTTTAAGCAATCCTATCCTATAAAATCTACCTATAATACTAAAAGGGTAATATGTTAATTAGACCGGGTCTACCTGCCATCTTCCAGACATCCAACTTCCTTCCAGACAAAGCCATGGTGGTGGGGGACAAGGCAGAGGCCATTAGGGTCTATCAGGCCAGCAGGGGAGGGCCATTGGGGGCAACCAGGCCGGCAAGGGAGGACAGTTAGGGGTGATCAGGCAAGCAGGCAGAGGCAGTTAGGGGCCATCAGGCAGGTGAGTGGTTAGAAGCCAGCAGTCCCAGATTACAAGAGGGATGTACGACCACCGGTTTAGGCCCAATCCCACAGGGTGTGATTGGAGAGGGTGCAGGCTGAGCTGAGGGAACAATTATGCACCGGGCCACTAGTAATTTGAATAAAGAGGATAAAATCTGTAACACAGGCCGTAACCGGTTTGGCTCAGTGGATAGAGCATCGGCCTGCGGACTGAAAGGTCCCAGGTTCGATTCCAGGCAAGGGCATGTACCTTGGTTGCGGGCACATCTCCAGTGGGGAGTGTGCAGGAGGCAGCTGATCAATGTTTCTCTCTCATCGATGTTTCTAACTCTCTATCTCTCTCCCTTCCTCTCTGTAAAAAATCAATAAAATATATTAAAAAAAAAAAAATCTGTAACACAGGAACAACCTTAGGCAATAAGGACAGGCCTAAGTTGGCACCATTTAAAAACTTTTTTTCTTTAATCCCCTTCTCTAAAACTCTTGAGAGCCACTAAACTTTGGCCTGTATCAGTGACGGCGAACCTTTTGAGCTCGGCGTGTCAGCATTTTGAAAAAACTCTGGTGCCATGTCACATACAGAAATTTTTTGATATTTGCAACCATAGTAAAACAAAGATTTATATTTTTGATATTTATTTTATATATTTAAATGCCATTTAACAAAGAAAAATCAACCAAAAAAAATGAGTTCGCATGTCACCTCTGACACGCGTGTCATAGGTTTGCCATCATTGGCCTATATAATAATCTAAGATTTTAACTCAAGTCATTTTAAAGTGTGTTCCTTATAAATTTAAATTAGCTGCTAAAATGGGGAAGAATAGGGCAATAAGAAGGTTTGATGATCCTCTCCCATCAGTGCTGTTTCTCTCTCTAAAATCAATGAAACCTTTTTTTAAAGGAGGTTCCTTTTGAAAGAATTTAAAAGACTGCCACCTGTGTGCCTGCATGCCATCTGCAGTTTTTGTACAGAGAAATTCTGCTCCTTATAGTTAAGGCATTACAGTCTTGAATACGTATGAGCCAAGACAAAGGAGAATTGTACTACTGTTCATGGACAGCTACTATCAGGACACTTCCAAATATGCTTAGATTTTTTAAACCACAGGAAAGGAAAAAAGTTGAGAAAACAAAGTCTTAACATGAGATTTGGATTTCTCAAAGGAACCTGAGTTTTGAGGGGGGTAGGAACATGTTTTGAGGTTGTGTCAAGTATAGACTCACTATAATTAAGTTTGTTCTAAAAGACACAATCTTTACTTTTTGGTTTGGCATGTTCCATGGACCCTAAGAACTATAGGGCAGTGAGATCCCTTAAGGAAAAGACTACATGGTGCACCGTCTCACCTCAAAGCAAAAATGGGGGAAGGCAAGAAAAGCCCTGTGGACATGGACTGGAACTAATTCATCAACATGGATTTATGAATTTTGAGGGGAGAGAGAAGCCAAATGCACGTGCACATGTGTGCACACATCCCTATTATTTCCTCGCTGTCAGCACAAGGGCCCCGAAGCAGAGATTCTCCAGAATCAATGAGCATATTTAGCACCCAATCACCTCCCAAATCTCATACAACCACAAGGGTAGAGGTTGGTTCAGGCAAGAACCAACATAAGCTACATTTAGGGGAAAAGTTTGATGAATAAGATATATGCTGGTCTTAAATTGTCTCCCCGTGAATTAGTAATTAGTGGCATAAAAAAAAAAAAATCAACTATACAGTGGAGAAATATAACAACACATGTCTAGGTAATAAAAATTAATACTTTCAGATACCATATCCTAAGAAGCACATTATTTATATAGTTTTCTGTTGGAAATGGATAACTGGAATCTAACGAGGAAATAAACCAACCAAAAAGTAGCATTCTATTTTTAGTAAGAGACTATGGTCTTCAAAAAGGCAAATTATATTTTAAAAAAATGAACAGCCCTAACCAGTTTGGCTCAGTGAATAGAGCATCAGCCTGCGGACTCAAAGGTCCCAGGTTCAAGTCCAGTCAAGGGCATGTACCTTGGTTGCGGGCACATCCCCAGTAGGGAGTGTGCAGGAGGCAGCTGATCCATGTTTCTCTCTCATCGATGTTTCTAACTCTCTATCCCTCCCCCTTCCTCTCTGTAAAAAATCAATAAAATATATTTTTTAAAAAATAAAATAAAAAACTCAAAAATAAAATAAAATAAAAAATGCACAAACATTTAGGAAAGAAAGACCATAATACATAAAACTTAACCGCAAACTCAAATGGTTGAAAAAAAGAAAAAGGCACCAATCTACACTAATAAAAGAGAAACATGCAAATTGGTGTCACTCCGCTACCCTTCCCATTGGCTAATGAGGGCGATATACAATTTAACTGCAAGCCAAGATGGCGGCCGACAGCCAGGCAGCTTGAAGCAAACATGAGGCTTGCTTGCTTCAGTAATGGAGGAAACCAACGTTCCCCACCTGCTGCTGCCGCCGGCCTCTGAGCTTGCAGTTTGAAACATTGTTACAAATATAGAAGCTAAACAAAACCCCATAAACCTGCTTTCAGCCAGCTGGGATCTCAGAGCTGGAGTTGATACAGTGTTTCGATTATAGAACCCAAACAAACTAGATACCTGCTTTCAGCAGCCGAGGCCTAAGTGCTAGAGCCAAGCCTCAGAGCTAAAGCTGGCCCAGAATAAAAAAAAAAAAAAGGAAAAAAGGAGCGGTTGGGAGCTTCAGTCACCTGCCAGCCTGAAAACAGCCCTCAGCCCCTCACCCAGACTGGCCAGGCACCCCATGGGGACCCCCACCCTAAAGGGTGTGTGACCAGCTGCAAACAGCCATCAGCCCCTCATCCAGGCTGGCCAGACACCCCAGTGGGGACCCCCACCCTGATCCAGGACACCCTTCAGGGCAAACCAGCCGGCCCCCACCGGTGCACCAGGCCTCTATCCTATGTAGTAAAAGGGTAATATGCCTCTCAGCACTGGGATCAGCGTGACGGGGCAGCGCCCAAACCCCCTGATCACCCTGCTGCTCTATGTGTGACAGGGGGCAGGGCCACAACCTCCCTATTGGCCCTGCTCTGTTCGTGACAGGGGAAGGCGCCCCAACCCCCTGATCAGCCCTGCTCTGTGCCTGATAGGGGGGAGCTCCCCAATACCCTGATCGCCCTGCGGCTCCGTGTGTGATGGGGTGCGGCGCCCCAACGCCCCCCCCCCCCCCCCCGACGGGCCCTGCTCTGTGTGTAACAGGGTAGAGCCATAACCTCCCCATCGGCCCTGCCCTGAGTGTGACAGTGGAGGCACCCCAACCCCCTGATGGGCCCTGCTCTGTGCGTGACAGGGTGGCACCGCAACCTCCCTTTGACCCTGCATTGAGTGTGACAGGGGGCGGTGCCCCAACCCCCCAATCGGCCCTACCCTGAGCGTGACTGAGGGTAGCATCTCAACCTCCCGATCTGCCCTGCTCTGTGCATGACAGGGGGTGGCGCCCCAACTCCCCAATCAGCCCTGCTCTGAGCCTGACCAGGGGCTGCACCTAGGGATTGGGCCTGCCCTCTGCCACCCGGGAGCAGGCCTAAGCCAGCAGGTCGTTATCTCCCAAGGGGTCCCAGACTGAGAGAGGGCACAGGCCGGGCTGAGGGACCACTCCCCCCCCGCCCCGCCCCGTGCACAAATTTTTGTGCACCAGGCCTCTAGTCTATATTATAAAAGGCCTGTGGCCAAAACGCCATAACATCCAAAGACCGGTCACCAGGAGGTGCACTGATGGGTCCCGTGGAGCGCTGGGTCTGGGACTCGCGTGATTTCGTGCTCTGGGACTCTAATGCAGTTATAAAAACACACACATGGGAGCAAGTGTGCCAAGTTAGAAAACAGAAAGAACAAATGTGGACAGGTAGGTGTCCACAACTAAAGGATGTATGTATGGTGTTCTTTGCACTATTTGTGCAACTTCTCTCAGTGAGGTTGAAATAATCTATAATAACAAAAGCCTAATATGCTAATTACACTAGACATCCTTCTGGAAGCTGGGGCTGCAAGGGAAGCCCGGGTCCTGGGTGCCAGCAGCTGGGGGAAGGCCTACTCTTGCATGAATTTCATGCATTAGGCCTCTAGTTTACAAGTAAAATGTAAAAAGTAAAGGTAAAGAGTGGCCTGCTCTACCTTCTTTTGCAGATTCAGAAAGCTGTTCAAATTTCTGGCAGCATTCTTGCTGGTGTGCCTCAGCCAACTTGACTTCTTTGCTTTTTAACCGGGCCTTATCCAACGCTTTGTTTGAGTTCTCATAGTCAATGAGGGCTTTGGTACGCCTGTATAAGAGATCCTGAGAAGAAAATTAACAGATAAAAACATGGTAAAATATCCCAAGTACTCTAGTGCCAATGCACTACCTGAAATGTCAACATCTAGTCTACTTCATGACCCCCCCCCCCGCCCCATTATTTTTTTAATTCCAAGATCAGTCTTGGGAGGAATTCTTATGGCATTACTGAGAATTTTTTCCGAATTGTTCATGTGAGTCAAAAGAAAAAAAAAACAACAGTGAAAACTGAAGGATTTCTTTTTCTAAGAAAGTAATTTCAGAAAATTAACCACTGTGTATTGAACATGTGCAATGACTGCAAGGTGAGTCAAATGATGCAGATAGAATGCAAAGTGGGCAATGAGGTAGTTAGAACATTCTTATAACCTTATCCAGAGAACCCTGCCTCTGGAAGTCTACCCTGAGGACCTAATCTGAAATATTCTTAGCAATGTTGCAGCAAAGTAAAAGTTACCTTAGTATCTAAAATGGGAAGTTATGCCCTAGCCAGTTTGGCTCAGTGGATTAGCCTGCAGACTAAAGGGTCCCAGGTTCGATTCCAGTCAAGGGCACATGCCTAGGTTGCGGGCTCAATTCCCATTGGAGGGCATACAGGAGGGCAGCCAATCAATGATTCTCTCTCATCATTGATCTTTCTCTCTCCTTCTCCCTTCCTCTCTGAAATAAAAATATATTAAAAAATAATTATAATAAAATGGAAAGGTATGCATGTATGACAGACATCTAAGATTCAATTATGTCCCTCTTTGTATATATGCAAAAAAATTTGTTTATCATCAGCACTTAAATTCATATAAAGATAGTCAAGAATAGTCAAGAATGTGTAAAAAAAAAAAAATCCAAATATAAGACTAAAGAAACATGCCAAATGACAAATTAACTAAAACAAAACTAAACTAAGGGGAAAATAATGAATTTCTACATTCTGACGGCATTTTTCTGTTACATATTTTCCCTATCTAATCTTATGTCTGATTCATTATTTCACACAAAAATGACTTAAACATTTTTGTTCAGGGTTGTGTAGACAGTGGAGAATGCATGTTTCATTCTAAAAAGTCATTCTGCACCCAATTAGTCTTGCTTTTTTAATAAATAATGCTTAATGACAACTGCAATTCAATAAAACTCAGAAATCCCAAAACCTTTTCTGCCTCGGAAATAGCCCCTTCAGAAAGTCTTCAGTTATGTACTGCATCAAATAACTCATAACCCCCAAACTATTTATGTATCTGTCTTCTCAAGTACAACCGCTATTGATCTCAAGTAATACAAGGTAAGGATACAATGCCACAAAAAGATACATAACTGTGGGAAATTTTCAATCTAAAATGAGACTGAAAGACATGAAATGAAGAACCTCATGCATGTGCCCACAGAACAGAACTTAAGAACTAACAGGCTACTTTCCTGTAAATGCCTGATTTACAGAAGAATCTCCTGACCAATGAACATCCACCCATGAACTTACTGCTTGAACTTACTGCTTGGACAGACTTCCCACTCTTTGTACCCTCCTTGCCCATAAATCCGCTCCACACCCTCACCAGACTCACATGTAGCTTACTATTGTTGCATGCCTTTTCCGAATTGCCATTCCTCAATAAACTCAATTTCTGATAACTCAAGCTTGCCTCAATTTACATCTCTGTTTAGATCCTCATCACTTACATAAACAATCCTGACAAATTCCTATCTTCCTTCATTTTTAACAAAAATCTCTAACATCACACCTCTTAAAAGTCATGGCAAGGCAGACGTAAAGAACTTACCTTAGCAGCCTCTATGTTGAGCATATAGTATCGAAGGAGCTCTGTCAGCTTTAAATCTTCATCTGAGGAGACTCGACTCTCTACTTTCTTTTAGAAAAAATAAAGATCATCATCAAAGTAGATATCAACAGATAAAATATATAATGAAAACCAAAATAAAAATCCTTACCCTAAGTTTTTCAAACAGCTCAGCAACCTTCAACAGGTACCTAAAATATATACAGGAATGGGTAAATTCAGGAGTCTTAGCCTTTGGTGCTTTAGAATTAACATATCAAAATATTATTTTCATCACTAGATTTGGCCCATTCTAGTAGAGAAGATGACTATAAAGTTGAACACACTTATAGTGTCATAATCATGGGTATCAACCTGTTGGTATACTACCCCCCTTCAGCCATATTGCCATGAAGAACCTGTGCTCCAATTTTAATTATCAGTATTTTTTATTGATATTATGCGTGTGCGTGCGACAGAGAGAGAGAGAGAGAGAGAGAGAGAGAGAGAGAGAGAGAGAGATTGATTGAGAAACATCAAATTGGTTGTCTCCCAGGAGCCCCAATCAGGGATCAAACCCACAATCTAGCTGTGACCAGGAATCGAAGCCGCCACCTTTTGGTGTACATGACACCCCAAACATCTGAGTCACACTGGCCAGGGTGTGTCCCCAATTTTTATCTAATGCTAAATCTGTGTTAACCAAGGTCAGGTTCTAATGAACCATCAGGTGTGCCCCAGTATAAACTATTTCATCTTGGTTCTGCCATTAGCTGACTTCCACTTTCAAATCAGAAATACTGCTGCCTGTTATACTAAGCCTAGGTATTAAATAGAATACTGTATCATACCAAAAATGGCCGGGCTAAAGAAACTGAAAAATATAAATTTTTAAAAAGCTCAAGATCAGACTGGGATCACTACATTATCCTTATGACCACTTCCATCAAATCTCTTTCCAAGATATTGCCAAGTAAAGTGCCAAGAACTATGTGGAACAGAACATACAAGGCAAACTTCAAAAAAAAGAAAACAAAAAGTAGTAGAGACATGTAATACAGACTCAATAATCACGTCTGGTACAGAAGTGCCCTCTGAGTCTGCTACAAAGTGTCTGTGTGTTCAGAGAGTGTATAAGATTTTAGCTACTAGAAACTATCTTATCTACCTTTGATAAGCTTGTACTCAAGAGAACTGAAATTATGTAGTCACTACTCACTATACTTTCAATCATACCACCTACTAGTTTTGGATTAGAGAATTTAGGGAATAGCTTTTCCAACAAAAACTTACTTTTTGATGACTGTGGGTTCCTCTAAAGCCAGGCTATGCAGGCAGGCTGCAGTGTGGATATAGTCATCTGCAACATCTGTAGAAACAAGAATAGCCTTGTTTATATGAACAGAACTGGCACATTAGCAAAGGTAGGTGGCTAGTGGGTGAATGATATTTACTTTTATGAGATCTGGTCATTTTGTCAGCTTTTGCACATGAATCCTTGATCCTATTATAATAGTTAATGAGGAAATTCTTCTCTTGCTCAAAGAAGTCATCTACCTCCTAAAAGGAGAGGGGGGGAAAAATTTAAGAAGCAAAACTTAAAAATATGAATATGTTTTTTGAATTAGAAGAAACATTAAGGAAATAAACTCATGCATAAGCTTAAGCTCTACAGACCAGGTAAATACAAATTGATAAAATACCATTTCACACTTAAGACCAGCAAAAGTCAAGTGATGGCAGGAAATGTCAACAGAGAACCATTTTGAAGAACCATTTAACAAAGCCCAGTAACACTCTGGTATCCTAAGATCTAGCAATTCTGTGAGAGCAATAGTTCTGCTTAGTGATTTGCTGCCACCTAGCTTCAGATACTCTGTGTGTAGAGGAGGGATGAATTTGGTTGCTTTCAGACTGAGAGGCAATACTGGAATCTGGTGGGCACCAGCCAGGGACACTAAACACCCTGCAATATGTGGGTACAGATTAAGTCCCACACACCTTAAACTGTGCCACTGAGATCACCAAAGAGCTTCCAAATTTCTAACAAGGCCCCTGGTACTCAGCACCTATATTCTAGGCTACTTACTCAAGCCCGCAAGTGACAAAGTTAGATACCAAATAGTAGCTATTAAGGTAACACAGTTAAAAGGGGGGATGAGGAATAAAGGAATAAATCACACGTATGAGGTTAATGAGAGACTTGTATATTAATTTGATTTTCTAGAATAGTACTTAATAGTATAAATGTGTAAGCCGTATGTGCCATTAAAATTTTTCTAGTAGCCACAGGTGAAATTAACTTTAAATATTTTACTTAACTCAGTATTATCTACAACAAAACTATCAGTGAGACATAATACATTCTTTTCTTCACATCAAGTCCTTGGAATCCAGCAAATAAATAAAATTAAAAATGTCAAGTGTGTGGGGCTACCAAAATGGGCTGTGCAGTTCTGGAGACCGTCATGAACGACTGCCCTTGTGGCTAATTTTCTTTTTTTAAATAATTTCACTTCTCTCCTTACAAAAAAAAAGGAGAAAATAAAGGCTTAAGTGTGAGAAGGTTCTTATCCCTTCTCCAGGGAGAGAACAGGATATTTTGGAAAAACTCATTTCACAAATATCTTTTCTAAAGAAATAAAAGGTCACCTATCTATGCAAAGTCAGGAATTTTCTTAAACAGCTAAAAGCCACTTACCTTAACTCCAGAAAAAAGGACTTCATCAGCACTTTTCACCACACTTTTAAAAAAGCCACCAAACATCTCTTTGGTATTTTTCCGCCTAACACTTAGCTGAAGAAAGAGAATGTCAAAGGAAGTTTATGGTAAATATATTTTTCTGGGTAAGTCCTAAATACTTTCCAAATAAGACTGTTTACTAGTATAGGCACACGCATAAGATAAAGACATTAAGACAAATTCCATCTTAACCACCACATCTAAGATATTGAATATATAGCTAAACCTAAATCCAGGTCACAATTCTAAAAGTATGATGTAATAGATATTTTGAAAACTATCTGGTCAACAAGATGGGTCTCCCCCCACACACACCTTTTTTATTGATTTTAGAGGGAGAGACAGAAACATCAATCGGTGGCCTCCCACATGCACTCTGAGCTGGGATAGAACCCTCAACTGGATATGTGTCCTCACTGGGAGTTGAACTGTGATCCTTTAGTGCAGTGGTCGCCAACCTTTTGGACCTCATGGAACACTGGTGGGCGACCGCTGCTTTTGTGTACAGGATGACACTCCAACCAATTGAGCCACGTTAGCTAGGCACCAAATCCCAGTGGCTTTTAAATTTTTGGTAAAATTTGTTCTGTTCTATGTTTATTAAACTTCACTGGTTAGAAGACACTGAGGAAATTTCTAAGTTGGGATTTGCTTCATACATATTAACAGAAACACTAAAAAAAACAAATATACAAGTCTTTTGTCAACAAAAAGGTAGCCTAGAAAAAACAAATTTGGATCGATTTAAGTTTCTTCTAATAATCCCAAACTTAACTGAGAGAGAAAACTATTCTTCGGAAGGGGAAAAAGGTCATAATCTTTAGCCTTTTATAAAAATGTCTTACATAATTGATCTGCCAGGGAGAGGAATTGGCATATACTAAAGGTTTCCACTGTGTTGGTAAGAAATTCAGAACACTAAAAGTCAATTTTGGACAATATGTATCAAGTATTTTTATTTTTATCAAGTCTATAGCTTATTTGTTTTAAATATGTCTTTATTGATTTTAGAAAGAGGGAGAGGAGCAGAGAGATAGAAACATCAATGAGAGAGAAATATCGATCAGGTACCTCCTGCACACTCCCTACTTGGGATGGAGCCTGCAATCTGGGCATGTGTCAACTGGGAATCCAACTGGTGACCTCTTGGTTCATGGGTAGACACTCAACCATAGAGCCACACCAGCTGGGCATCAGATATATTTTTAAAGAATAGTCTTGTACATTTTCCTGGATCATGGAAATGAAATCTTAAAAAAAAAAAAAAAAAAAAAAAAAAGCCTTACATCCTGATCGTATTCCAGGAAAACATGAAAGTTGCGATCTTTACTGAGAACAGGGTGAGAAGAAAGCCGCTGAAGAAAGACTTCATGGGAGGATACAGTCTTCTTAAAGACAGCAAGATATTCACTAAAAGAGAAGCATACAAGACATCTGGTTGGCACCACTCAACTGGCAAGCACTACCCGACCCAATTACTGCTCATGCCACTAAGTAAAATATCTGAATAAGGCCTAAACATTTTGGTATAACTTTATATCTAATTCAGTAATAAGATAGTTGCTATTTTGAAATCTATGGAATGAACAAAAGAGGGAAAGTGGTATTATAACTGGGGTTGATGGAGCAAGTCTACAAAGCCTGGAATCTACATGCAAACACTGCTGGTATTTAGCAGCCAACAGAACATTGATTTCTTTAAAATCACACACACACCAAAAAAACACCCTTTAATTTGGCAGCTGTATAGACAGCACGGAGACTAAAAAGGCTCAGAATCATAAGAAATTATAAGACACCTAAGGACAGATGAAGTTAAGGGAATAAATCTCATTTTGGTGCATCAGTATAATACAACTGATGAATATACTATTGAGATCCTCCCCTAAACTCCCAGCCTTTAAAAGCCCTCAAGATAAAAGGACCCAGCACTCTCCCCCATCTCAACACACCCCCATCCCTCTTTCCCACTAAGGCATACATCTCCTATCTAAAGGTCCCAGAGAGCCCTAGCTTGTGTGCTCAGTGGTTAGAGCATAAGCCCACACATCAAAGGGTTACAGGTTTGATCCCCTCCCTGTGGGAGGCAACCAATTGATGTCTCTTTCCCTGTCCCTCTCTTTCCACTCTCTAAAAAATAAACTAAGATAAAGGTGTCCATGAGACTTGCAACCAGGGGAGCAACTAGCAGTAGCAGCTTGTCCAAGGCTAACCCCTTGAACCTGTCTGGGGCAGAGCATGAATGGGAAGTGCTGAAATGAGCACCTAAGTTCAATACACTGATGGTAGAAGAGGAGAGGAAGTCAATATAAACCAAGGATGGTTTCACAAGAAACTTTAGTGCAAATCTCCAACTATGATACAGAATTAAAAAACCATTTTTGTTTGAATTAAATTACAATCAAAGAAAAATAAACTTCCTGTGGACTTCTTCTGATCCTGCAATGTGGTTATCATTCAGAATGCTTCTCTGTAACAGCACTCACTGCATTCTAGTTTCAACTATGTTTCCAGTAATCAAACTTCAGAGAACTGCACACTATCAGCAGCTTGAAAAAATTACATATGAAAACACAAAGGTTTACTTCACCATGCCAGACCAGCATTCCATAACAAGTATGGTCTACATAGGGGAAAACTACTCTCACCAGTGCTTGTGGCCCAAGGAAGTCAAGGTCTAAAGCTCAAAACTATGCCCGAAACTCTGCAAAATGCAATTTTAAAGGACAGCACTAGTAACTACTATACTCATCCCATTAAGAAGATCCACTTACGCTTCCAACTCTTGCTTCATCTTGGCAAATTCTTCTTTGGTCATAGACCCTTCGCCCTCCCCCAGTTTCTGCATCTTCTCTCGAGGGCCATCAAAGTCAGGCTTTGTAGGAGCAGGTGGAATCTGCAGCAGAGCAGGTAACTCATGAACATTCTTGTCCCAGCAGTGACATTCTCTAGTTAGGGCTTGTACACAGGCCACCAGTCCTGTGGTCAACCTGTCTTTCTTTTAACCTTATTGGTTTTGGCCGTTTAAAAGTGTCCTCCCCAAAACTGGGCACTCACTTGTTCAGTTTATCTATTATGAACAATTGGTAGGGTACAATAGTGTTTACGTTTAAAATTTAAACATTAACAATCAGTACTAAAATAGAGCTGATGAGGAAACATCAAGATAATAGTCTATAGACTTTAAAAAGAATTTAATTCCAGAGGACAATAAAATACATTCTAATACTGAGTGAACAGAATGTTCTTAAACATAAGTTTCAGTACTAATTTTAATTATTTTGCCAGATTCTTCAGTCTGCCTGACAGTACAAACCACACTCCTATAAAATCAGAAGGTCTCTTCCTGCAGCCATACATTAACTCTAAAGAGGTGAACACAAGAACTGCCTTCTTTATCCTTTAAGCAGACTACAACATTTGAGAATGTAAGACTGTATGTTTCCATTCATTCATAGCTACAACACTAATCTCATATTCTAGATTTTAACAGTAATGATTAGCACCTACTCTAGTTGGCAGGTGAAATCAGACTTTCACAATCCATGATGAAAAATGGGTAAAAGTCTCTAAACAGAATGAACAGCAAGGTAGAAGAAATATCCTTCAGTAATTATTTTATTTTCCAAAATGCACTTACAATAAGCCCAGCATAGTCTGCAGTTTCAGAAAGAGTGTCATGTAGCCATACAAAGTCTTCATGTTGCCTTATAACAGAAAACTCTGGGCTCTGAAATGTGGGCAGTGTGGTCTGTAAATAAAAGAGAAGTTAACTGGTAACTACCATTTATTTTAGATAAAGTGGCTTGAATTTCCTGAGCTGCACTAAGGGAAAATCCTAAATAAAACATCACAATGAGATCCACTAAAGAATAAAATGCAGCAACACACAATCTCTCCACCACTATGAAAAGCCATAGCCAAGATTAAACATGTTCTTTAAGGAATTCTTTTCACAAATTTCCACCTTGTACGTCAACTCAGATAAAATTACGCACTCTTCACACTGCCTTTTGATTGAGGTACGCCAATCAAGCTACCAAGGTATTAAGAGAAAAAAAGACATGGGAAAAGACCTTATAGATATTTATTTGCTTTATTTAAATCAGTTCCTATTTCCTGCCCTGTAAAGTGGGGATAATAAAACACGATAAGGTTGTTATAAAAAAACAAATCCATGTAAACCTTTTACAACAGCGCCTGGGATAGGAAAAGTATTCAATACATTTTAACTACTAGGTAAGGAGAAAAGGAGGCTGGAAGTGTTCCTGAAAGAACTAATACTGCTTTTTGTCAAATTAAAAATATGGAAACAAGCCTGGCCAGATGACTCAGTTGGGAGTCTTTTCCCTTTCACCAAAAAGGTGGTGGTTTTGATTGCTGGTCAGGGTATATACCTAGGTTTGGGGTTCAATCCCTGGTTGGGGCATGTATGGGAGGCCACTAATTGATATTTCTCCCTCCCTCTCCCCTCCTCTCTCTCTAAAACAAATAAAGCAAATCCTCAAGTGGAGACAGGCCTGGCCTGGTAGTCAGCTGGTTATCCTATATGCCAAAGGCTGTTTGATCCCTGGTCAGGAATAAATAAGTGGAACAAAGAATGCATAAATAAGTGGAACAAATTGATGTTTCTCTTTCCCTTTCTCTAAGATCAATTTAAAAAATTAAAATTTATAAAAACAAAAATTTGGCGGCAAAAATAAAAAAAGCTCTTTTGAATCACAAGAAATAAGTGGGGCAAAGGCCAAGAACTTGGTAAACATGAGAAAGCACTTCCCACACATGCAAATTAAAAACAAAGGTGGTGCCGAAGCCGGTTTGGCTCGGTGGATAGAGCGTCGGCCTGCGGACTGAAGGGTCCCAGGTTCGATTCCGGTCAAGGGCATGTACCTGGGTTGCGGGCACATCCCCAGTGGGAGATGTGCAGGAGGCAGCTGATCGATGTTTCTCTCTCATCGATGTTTCTAACTCTCTATCTCTCTCCCTTCCCCTCTGTAAAAAATCAATAAAATATATTTAAATAAATAAATAAATAAATAAAAACAAAGGTGTCCTTAGCTGGTTTGGCTCAGTGGATAGAGCGTCAGCCTGTGGACTGAAGGGTCCCAGGTTCGATTCCAATCAAGGGCACATGCCCGGGTTGCTGGCTCAATCCCCAGTAGGGGGTGTGCAGGAGGCAGCCAATCAATGATTCTCACTCACTGTTTGATGTTTCTCTCTCTCTCCCTCTTCCTTCCTCTCTGAAATCAATAAAAAAATCAAATTAAAAAAACAAAAAACAAAGGTGGAAGACTTCAGCTGTGTAGGAAGATGGTTCAGCCTGCTTCACTTTGCTTGATGTACCTTCCTCAGAGAGCAGTGTACAAGCCACATTTAACATCAGCAATGCCCTAGGGTTCCACCATAGTGGAAAACACTGCAGCAATTACACTTATTTAAGGGCTCACTACAAGATGAGGGAGGTGCTCACTTAGCAGTGGTGCTACATTGCAAACAAATGGCAACCATTTCAGTTCAGGAAGTCTCTTCTCACAGCCACTGTAAAAAACAAGGCTGCAAACTAGCACTGTTTGTATTATTGAAGCCATTCCACCACTTACCTTGGTGTGTACTGTAAACTTGACCTTATCTCTTTCACTGAGTGCATCAGGTATGTCAATCTGAAGCGAGGGATCAACATTCAAGTCCACAGATACAGATCTCAGCTGAAATACATTTTTTGGTCATTAGTTTCAAATTCATCTTAGTCCTAAAAAGTATCCTTCCAAAAAATGGGAGCTAGTAATTAAAAAGCAGCCTGTACGAGATCATTTAGAACAAAGTCAGCTGAGATAAATCTAAGTTTATCTGACACTGTAGGGAAATCTTAAATATATGGATGGGTACAAAGTATTCCTGTGATCTGAAAAAGCCAACTATAATTTTAATATCATGTGCATTACTCATTTTATATCAGCATGAAAAATTTCTTTAATCAAACACCTAGAGAACCATTATTAAGAAGGCTTGAACTAGACAGGATGAACTCGTGAACTTCTCACATAAATGCCTAAACTACAAGGAATACTCAAGTGGCATTAACCAGATCATTCATATGAAAGACGAGACTAGTAAAACAGAACAGTTATGTGGTATGGGATCCTAGGTCAAAAAGATAAGAAAAACCTGGCTCAAGAGTAGAGCTATTTACCAGGGATTGTTTCATCTAGACACCGAGAAATGAACTGAAAAACTAACAAAGGCCCTACTTAGCAGAATCTCATCGTTAGCTACACATAGGGGACAAGTGTGAGCACTGCCCTGGAAGCAAGAGCAACAGATTTTGTGAGAGGAATTCAGAGGAAAATAACACCCAACTCCATGTTTGTCCGTTTAAAAAGAATTTTGGGGAGAAATGGACTGTTAAGGAAAAAAAGTGGTTAAAATGGTGTTTGTCCTGAATTTAAAGTATGATAAATTCCCTAATTCTTAAAGCAGACAAGCTGAGTAATGGTCAATGTGAAGGTATGACACAGACAAGGCATTAAACTGCATGAAATAAGCATCTCATGTCTTCCCACCTACACCCCCCCAGAGCTAAAGTAAAGATGTCGTAACACTCGATTATTGCACACAGGAAGAATGCCAAGTGAAGACTGGAGTTAAGAGAATGAGGGAATAAGGAATACTGAGATATTTCCCCCTAAATTTCATTTTGAATTCTTTTCTTCAAAATAAAAAGTTCAAGACCTAAGACTGATACACTTACTTAACTTTTGAAACTAGAAAAATGGGTTCAATCAGGTTTAATCAAAAAGATTAAATATATCCACTAAAAAAATGCATAACTTCTATTTCTACATCTTAGAAACTGTCAGTTACCTCCCGTTTTCCCTTAAGCACTAAGAAAAAATTTAAATTGCAAAAATCAGAGTTAGTCCTGTAACAATGGCTTTCTAATAAGAAACAAGCTTCAAGTTCTGCCAGAACTTGATTTTAACATCAGGTATATTAGTAAGATCACAATATGTTTAAGTCCCTGACATTTCAACCTAAATACTTCTCCCAAATTAATTCCTGATGACTCCTATGAAATACTTGCTTATTTTGACTTAATTTTCCTATGTCCATTTATAAGATCTCTACAAACAAAGATAAGACTCAAGGTCAGGGGTACTTCATATTGTCATAACTGTGACTCTCCTGACATATTTCTGATAAAAGCTTCCTTCCTTCCGATAACTTACCACTGGGCAAATACAAAATTCAAAAGACCTCAAAATATACACTAAAATTTGACTGCAGAGAATACTATTTTATGTTTGTATCTGTCAATCAGAACAGGAACAAAGCGGGCAGGTGTAAAAGGGCCAACAGACCTTGGTAGAAAGACGGGGCAGGTTTAAGGTACATTTCCCTGAGCTCAGCAACAACTGTGATGCTTCCTGAGATTCCATTTCCTAAAGAAGTCTCAAATCCTGGTTTCTAGCCATCTCTCAATTTCTAAACAGGCTGACAATTCCATTTTAGCTCACTATAAGACAAACAAACTTAATGAGCCTGTGATCTCCACATGGGCTAGCTTTAGAATTAGGTATTGAAGGACCAAGGTGAATGTAATAGAGAAATAGTTTATTTAAGCATCAAAGCTAAAATGAACTTTACCAGCTGCTTTTATCCCACCAAACAATTATCTTCTGGTTTCATCTCTTTTCCCATAACTCTAACCATATAATTAATAGCCTAGATTATTTACTATATTACTATCTTCCTTTCTTGTTACCATAGGAATATGGTTTTTGGTTTGTTTTTGGTATGAGTGCAATGAAGACACACATAACCTACAGTTAGCATATAACCCTCCAGAAAATGAAGCAAATAAATCAATAGAAAGTTGTGAAATGCTTAAAACTTCTAAGTCAGCACAGAATTCTTACTCCGGAAGCATCAAGTATGATGCTTAGTCAACAAAACCCAAACCCCACAGCCTTCCGCCACAGTACTTGCTAAATAAATCAGCAGGATGTAGAGTATAAGAACTGGGTTGTACCCCATTCACCCAGCTCTATCCCCTACCCTAAATAAGCATCCAGAGTACTACTTAGCACTGGTGGCCAATACCAAGTTGGGCTACTGATGTCAAAATGCCAAGAATGGCTGTTTAAATCAGTGGAGAAAAGCAGGCTTCAGAACCAAGTCATGTTATTTTTTCAATTTCCCAGTTCCCTTAGGTCACTTGAGAATCAAATTTAAAACACCTATCCTCAAACAATAAAATGTAAGTTTTAAAACTGACTTTCTTTTGTATATTTCTATAGAAACCATTGCATGATATACCCAAAAGTTTTAGATGGAGTTTCACCCCCAACATACTTTCCTTCCAGATTAATCCTTATAGTAAGGATTACAATGATCTTGTGACAAGAAAAAAAAGGGGGGGGGGGCGGGAGGGGAGGGGAAGATAAACAGCACTGCTTTATTTAGAAAGCAAAATTTTAACTGTTTTTAAAAACTCTAAATACTTGGTAAGAGCCTGAAAAGGAGAAAACCTGATACAGAATCCCTATGCACTTCCTCACCCATTCATCAGCCAACCCAGCTGGGGAACATGATACTACTGGCTGCAGGACAACTCTGCAGACTTTTGAGCTAAAGACCACTTGTGATCCAAATCTCACTTTGACTCACTTTGGTGCAAGGCTTACCACCATCTACAAAGCTCACTCTTCAAAAGATTTAATGGTTCACAGATGGCAAAGGGCAGCTATGTGATTGGACAACATGGAAGGCTAGATTCTGAAATTCAGAACCTACAAGGGAGAACAGAGAAGGTACATTCAGCAGATATATATATTACTTTGTTACTGTTTCAACTCACAGGAAAGAAGTGCTCTATAAGAAATTCTAATGCCATTATCCTTCTCCAAATCCCTCCTTTATGGTTCCAAGTACTGGTACTCAAATTTTTTGTTACCATTTTCTTCCAAAACCTGCTTATCTGTTCTATCCCAGCTTTTCCTTATAGCACTGGTGCATGAAAACAACTGAACTGACTATAAGCAATGAGCTCTGCTTTTAAACCTAGTTGTTTCTCATTTCCTGCCCCTCTCCCCAACCTACAATAGATTCTTCCCTTCTTCACATAACTTTGGTCTACCAGTATCAATCATAACAGAACCAGTCTTCTAGATCTCAGTATACTAATATAGATAAAAGTTATGGAAGTTAGCCATAACTTAAAAAAAAAAAAAAAAAAAAACCTAGATAAAGGGCCACAGCAAGTGATCAGATTTCCACCACTCATCTTGGTGAGATGGGCCCAAGAGGGACCCATCCCTGCTGACACCAACCATTCTTACGGGTAGTCCACCAACACACAAGCTGTCCATGGTAGAACACCACAGACTGCAGGGCATTTGGAGGCTACTGAACCCTGAGTTCCTAGAACAGGAACCAAGGCTTGGAAGAAGGTCAGTGCAGCGTACTCAGCGAATGGATAAACTCAATCATCATTTCACAAGGCTGCAAAGCCCATGAACTAGTCAAATCCCAACCTGGAACCAGAAAGATTAAGTTGAATTATTGGCTTAACTAACATTCATTACAAGAAATCTAACTAATTACTAGATACCTGGATTATTTTCAAATGAGCTCACAAAATGAAAGAGTTATACTGTATGATCTAAGGAACTCCTAGCACAGAAATTCTACTGGGAATCAACACAGCGGTGCTATGGAGAAAGCAGCTGAACAAATAAAAAATTAATTTTCTTCCATTCAAAGCTAAAGCCCTTAATCTACTACTACCCAATTCTATGAAGGCTCCCTCCCCAAAGTTCCTTGATATATCAAGTCCACAGCCCTCTGCTACAAGCCTGACATGTTACACACTACTAGTACACATGTCGATGAGGATATTTAAGAACATTCATTGCCTGACCTTTATGATCAAACCAAGATGAATGGAAATAGGTTTAATACACAAATTTACCTTCACCACCACCAGATTATTCAGCAACACAAGAGAGCTATCTGAGCTTAAGCTTATATAAGTTTGAGACACAAATGGCAGCATGGAGAAAAGAGAAGGCTGCCTGCTTCCTGATGAGATTCCCTCTACTTTGAATCAAAGGTACCACACATTTCCCAAGTCATTTAGATGTAAATATTCCATTACCTCATTTCATCACTCACCAGTAGCTTTGTACTGCTCTTCAAGAAATATAAAGTGAGCCCTAACCGGTTTGGCTCAGCGGATAGAGCGTTGGCCTGTGGACTCAAGGGTCCCAGGTTCGGTTCCGGTCAAGGGCATGTACCTTGGTTGCAGGCACATCCCCTGTGGGGAGGTGTGCAGGAGGCAGCTGATCAATGTTTCTCTCTCATCGATGTTTCTAACTCTCTATCCCTCTCCCTTCCTCTCTGTAAAAAAATCAATAAAAATATATTTTAAAAAAAAAAAGAAATATAAAGTGAAAACCCAAGAAGTTGGCTTCTGCATTTGTACTCACCATTAACAGTGACTAGAATGGTTAAAGGCCTGCCCCTCAAAAACAAGTAAACTATACTCTTCAAGCAGAAAATGCATACCACAAGCAGCTATTCTGAGAACATTAGTTTTCTCTACAGACCACATAGCAGTGCCTGAAAAAGTTACACCAAATTTGTAAAAGGGAAGGAAGGAGGGGAGAGTCAAGCCAACAATCCCGTATCTGAACTGAGGAAGTGCAGTCCTTCCTCTGTGCCTCTAACTGCACTTACACTCTCCTCCCTCTTGGCTTTTGCCTTTGGGTTATGAAACAGTTGATGAATTTCATGTCCCTCTTGTAGAAGGGCTATCTCCTAAGAATTAACTCAGTGGCCCATCAGAAAATAAACAGATGTCGGAGGTGAGGCTTTTTAGAAAGCGAGATCAGGCAGAGAAACTTTCCATTTATACTTGTAAAGTTTGCCACATGCATGAGACAAGATGTCCTCCACAGCCATCTTCCTTCACTGCTTCTAAAAGGCAGAACTTACAACTGTCCTCAAATTGGGTTCATTAAAGGGTTGTTTCCCTACCACCTCACTTCACTCATGCCCTTTCATCAATGGCTATCACTATCTCAAGGGTACTAAGCTACAGAAATATTTTTGCCTTATCTCCTCGAACAACCAGGCCCTGACAATAAATAGAGCAAAATGTTTTTAAGATTTTAAACTAAGTTCTACTCTGCAGCACGTTTATTAGTGAACTTCAATTCTAGTCCACAACGTTTTGAGTGCTGTAACATCAGAGCTTCAGGTTTCCACAATACAAAGCAGGCACTACATTTCAACAGTGAACACACAGCTGCCTCTCTGCAATCCTAAATTGCCCCCAGAACCCACTCAAGAAACCCTTTTACCATCTTTTGATAAGGTTCCTCAATATTGGGGTGGAGGAGCTAATTCCCCCAAAGTCAACGGTACAGCATGTATTTTCTTTTTTCTTTAATATATCTTATTGATTTTTTTACAGAGCGGAAGGGAGAGGGATAGAGAACTAGAAACATCGATGAGAGAGAAATATCAACCAGCTGGCCCCTGCACACTCCCTACCGGGGATGTGCCCGCAACCAAGGAACATGCCCTTGACCAGAATCAAACCTGGGACCCTTCAGTCCGCAGGCCGACGCTCTATCCATTGAGCCAAACTGGTTAGGGCTAGCATGTATTTTCTTATAATTTATCAATCATAGATTTGCAAAAAATGTAAAAACTGGCACACTGAAGATCAGCCTCTGTAACACAACCTTCACCCACTCATACACATCATTTTTAAAAGGAAAGTTTAAACCAGTGATTCCCACCCAAGGAACATTTAACAATGGCTGCATATATTTTTGACTATCACTACTGGAGGAAAGAGAGCTACTGTCACCCAGAAGCCTGGTATACTGCTAAACCCCTACAATGCACAAGACAATTCCCCACGACAGATTATCAAGCCCAAAATGTCAGTAATGCTCAGGCTGTAAAACCCTGGTTTAAACTCAAGCTCTACATCAGATGTTGGTTATTTACCAGGTCTCACACCAAATGAGAATTTAGATCTCAGAATCTAGAAAATTCTGTAAGTCTCCCTTGGCCATTTCTTCCTACAGCCCAAAAAATGCGAGATCGTGGGCATCTTAAGACACTGTGTACAAGTTACTGATCCAGAACTAAGATTTGGGTAGTTTTGATAAGTCCTATACTTTCAGAGTTTAGAAAAGAAAAACGAAGTCAAGCCATTAAATTAAGAAAGTCCACAAAAATTAATAATTTTGAAATTGTCATAGTAGTTGTCAAAGTTTAGTACTGTTCCTACACTAACAAACTTTAGGACATTTTCCCACTCAAACTGGGAGTCAAGTGTCCCTAGAGACAATTTCCACACCAGTTAACAAAAAACTGCAAACCAGAGCAGCAGCATAAATGTTAATGAGGCTCCAAGGAGACATCATCCACCAGGCTGGGAAGGGCTACCATCTCCTTGCAAAACTTTTCCTACATGCTAAACTTACTTCAGTATATTAGCAATTTAAGAATCATTAAAAAAAAAAAAAAGTCTTGGTAGGCAATCAGGACCCATACTCTATTTGCGGTGGGTTTGCTGGAATACTGAAGGGATTCATCACAACAGATGGATACACACTGAATCTGGGAGTGGGAACCTAACCATGATGCCAGCTATTTAAGTGGCTTTTTGGCAAACAGAAGGCCTCGAGAACCTGTAAGGTGCAAAATGACTAGAGACCAGGGTAACTTATTTTATGGGAACGAGGTTCTTCATGATCTCATTCCCCCACTACCCATTAAAAACTCCAGACACCCGAGAATGTCCCACGGACGGTGGCACAGTACTAGGTAACTATAACGATGGAGCCACTGGTGTTAATGCCTTCGCTTTTTCAGGGATGACACATGGTAAAAATCCCATTTTTCCAAATTTAAAGATCAAAATACAATCTTTTCCATCAGTAGAGAACGAGTTGAACCAGGTTCTAATTCGATTCCCAGTCAGGGCATATCTATGAGGCTTGCCCGGGCCCTGGCTGTGGGCTGAGCAGTCTCCCATGGACCAAAAGGTCGCTGGTTCCATTCACCATAGGGGGCATGCAGGAGGCAGTTTCTCTCCCTTCCTCTCTATAAAAAACGTCCTTTAAGTTAACAGTAAAAACCATCTAAAGATACACAGCACAGGACGAAAATTAGATCAGAAAGCAAAATGAAGCCACGTGTTAGGGCAATATTATAGTAAGTTTATTATTTCCTTATTTCTTCATTAAAAAAAAAATAGAAGGAAAATGATTCTACATAAATCCTTTTCCTGTAGCCACTACAAGGTTTGGGGGCGTGGGGGAGGGCAGGAAATAGCCTTCATAATCCTCCAATTTTGCTGGAGGGTTAGAATGATGGGCACTTAAAATTCCAGCTACCATATACCATACTAGCAAGCAGGAAGGCCCGTTGAAGCAGTGGAGCACTTTTAAACAGCTGATGTTTTAGACTCAAACACTGTGGGTCAAGGAAGAAGTGTGTGTGTGTGTGTGTGTGTGTGTGTATCAAACTGCTATCAAAATTCCTATTCAGCATCTAAACTTGTAGGAAGAAATCTACCTTTGGAATGTTCTGGTAAGAATCGTAGTCTCAAGTTCCCACTTTCAGTTTTAGTAAAAAGAACAAGTTCCTTCTTTCAACTTTCAAGTAAAAATACTCCCAGGAAGACTTGACTACCCCCATCACCAAGTTGCACTTGAATAACTAACACAGCATGAGGCCCTCGTTGGGACTTGGACTGGATGAGTCTCTCCCCAAAGATGGCCAACACAGACGGGGCCTTTTAAGACGTCTTCCAGGTTAAATCCAACAGTGCTTTGTAGCTTTAAAGTTTCCCCCCCTTCTGTCAGAAAAACTGTGTTAACGATTCTGCACATAACGTTGTGGTTCACACCAACTTATGCGAATTGTGCGACACTAATTCAAATGTAAAGGGTCAATAAAAAGAGCAGGGCTTGTTTCTAAATCTTTAATAGGCTACGGCAAACTAATTTTACTGCACGTTACCTACCAGACCTCAAGCTTTAAGTGGCATGGGGGTAATTTACATAAACACCCAAATTTTAAAAATAAAAACCGAGTTCAACAACTATTAGAGCACCTACTAAAAAAAAAAATCACACAACTCCCGCAGCGACGCCTTCAGCGTTTATGAAAGTTGTAAGATACAGGTTTCAGATTTCTGACTTGATGAAATTTCCTCCGTATTTAAGGCCTAAATTTTAGGCCAAAAAAAGAGTTTTACCAAGGTGGAGGGGGGGAACAGTTTGGAAGCATTTAGTTGCATAGTAAGTGGATTTCACGTCCCCCGTCCAGTCTTCGTGAAGCCAAGATCAGTTTTAAAAAACTTTTTTACGTAAAAACCCATTCTCGGGGCTCCAGAGGCTCGCCGCGCCCGCTCGGCCCCGGACACCGGGCCGCTGGGCACGGTGCCGCGTCTGTTCTCAGCCTCAGGAAGAACAAAGGGCGCTCGGAGCCCGGCAGGTGCGTCCCGCGTGGGCACGCGAGCGGCCCCAAAGCCCCCTTGCGACGAGGGAAGAAATGTGGGGCCCCGAGAGGCCGGCGGGCCTCCCGCCGGGCGCCTGCAAGTGTAAGGCCTCACCTTGCTTCGGTCCTCGTCCTGCTGCTGCAGCACCTCGGGAACCGCGGCCATGGCGACGCGGGTCTCGAGCGCGGGCTGCCGGGCTGTGCGAGGAAAGAAGAGGCTGGGCCGCCGCCGCCGGGGCGCCTAGAGGGGCGGCCGCGGCCCCGCCTCCGCTAGCCTCCCTGCCCCACGGCGGCAGGAGGCCACGGGACTCCGCCACCATCCCAGAAGCCCCAGGAAAGGCGAGCGGCACGCCACGTGCTCCCCCAGAGCTGCCTCCCCCGTCCATCTTGGAGCCGGGCAAAGAAGCTACGCGGGGCCTACCCTCGCTCCGGGCCACGAGGGAGCCGCAGACCACAAGGCAGCGAGAGGGACGCGAAGGCAGAAACACTCCCCGCTAGGCGCGTCTCAAGGAAGAGCGTGCTGTCGCGCGGCGAAATTTATTACCTAGCCAGGGTCCAAGATGGCCACGAGCTGTGACGTCAGCGAGATCTCGTGAGAGCGGAAGGGCGCGATTTGCAGGCGCCCGCGCATCTGCTGGCGGGGCGGGACTCTCCGAGGATCGCGTGAGTGCCTATGGAGGTGAACCAAGGCCTAGGGGCGGGGCGTGCGCGCCGCAGGGCGCAGTGCATGCTGGGACCGCCTTGCCTCGGCGGAAGCCTAATTCGAGACCAAAGCGCGGGAACGCTGAGCTCACGCGCCCGAAGAGGTTGTTAGCTACGCGGGAGTTAAGCGCGGGGTGGTGGCCGCTGAGGTACCTACCCCTGCTCCTTAAGCCGTCTCCTTCCCAGTCCTGACTCTCACCGTAAGGGCCCCTGCATTCTGACCGCCAACATGGTTCTGTTGTTGGCGGCTGTTACGGCACCCGGAGTCTGACCCATGGGGTCAGGCCGACCCTCCTTCAGCAACCTGGGTACTTGGATTCTGGCTAGAAAGAATTCGGGGCCAAGACCCAAACTGTAAGAGGATTTTTACTTGGTAAATCACAGCGGTCGGAAAAGTAATTGGTAGAAGAGATGGTCTGAGGGAATTTGTGGATAAAGCATTGGCCTGCGGTCGACCGGTTCGATTCCCGTCAGGGGCAGTACCTCCACTGCAGGCTCCTCCCCCACGGAGCCCTGACCGGGCCTCAGGCAGGAGGCAACCAATCTCACATGGTCTTTCCCTCCCTCTTCCACTCTCCCAAAAAATCAGCGGAAAAATATCCTCGGGTGAGGATTAACAAAACAAAAAAATAAAAAGGAAGGGCCCTTGGCGCTTGGGAGTGAGGGAACTAATGGCAAGGTTCCTGGGGGGAAGGGGAGCTTCTGGGAGGGAGAGCACACTGGGTCCTCCTGTTCCTGTTTTTTTGTTGTTTTTCTAAAATATTTTATTGATTTTTTACAGAGAGGAAGGGAGAGGGATAGAGAGTTAGAAACATTGATCAGCTGCCTCCTGCACACTCCCTACTGGGGATGTGCCCGCAACCAAGGTACCTGCCCTTGACCGGAATCAAACCTGGGACCCTGGAGTCCGCAGGCCAACGCTCTATCCACTGAGCCAAGTCTGCTCGTGGTTTTAAGGTGGAGATTTTAAGGGAAGATCTCAATAGATATTCATCAGTTTTCTAGGTGTGGCCTTTCAGGGTTGTGGTCTTCACTGGTCGATTGGCCAGTCTCAGGGCAGGGGTCATTCTGCAATGCAGCTGGTCCTGAGGGCAAGGGGGGCGGGGAGGTCGCTGGCCTGGTTTTGCTGCTTTTCTGGACCTGGAGCTGAAATACAATTGAGGCACAGATGTTATCTCTAGGGAGGAAAGGTCAGAGGGTCAAAACGCTGGACCAGCTTTTTGCTAGGGGAAGGAAAGTCACCCTGGGGGCGAGGTACCTACAATTGACTATCCCTTACTGTAGGTACCCAGGGCTTCCCACCCTGGTGACTTTCTGTGCCTGGCCCTTCTTGCTCTGCTCATGTCTGTTTTAACTGCCTACTAAAGAGGCTGACTTCCGGGGGTCACAGTGGTGCTTCCTGCTGAGGGCTGTGCTTACCTGCTGGGACCTGACATGTCCTTCAGAAGCTTGATTTCCACATATGTAAAACGATGGAAGTAGTACTCACCTTACAGGGAGTGAGGGTAGAATGAGAAATCTCCACACAGAATACTTAGCAAACAACCTGGTATTTGAGGATCCGTGGGTAATTGTTAACTGTGACTCCTGGCTATTACAGGATGGATTCTAGAGTTGTTTTTTCCTCTAGTCTCACACTCCTCCCTCTGTTCCTAGGCATCACATTTCTTCAGAGAGAATATTGGGGGACGTCTTGCCCAAGCTGCTATTTCGAATTTAGTAGGTGCTGGTCCTTCTGGTATTGACCAGGGCCTTTCTTTGGAAATAGCTGTGTCTGAGCATGTTGCAAAAGCTTATTGAATAGGCTTTTAAATGTGCAATATCATACTGATGCAGCTTTCCCATTGATAGTTAAAATAATTTAACACATTTGGCACCTAACACCACTTTTCTCTTTAATAGGAATGCAAAAACTAAAAAGACCCTCCGTATTGCAAGGGGACTAGAGGGAAGTGAAAAGTCTAAAGATGAAGGCTTTTCAGACCATCTGCAGGCAGCTTAAAAGTTCAAAGCAATTTTCTGTAGAACTATCCCCACATCGGGGTTTCTCCACGTCCTCTTATTCATGTGGCCGGAAGAAAAAAGTGAACCCTTATGAAGAGGTGAACCAAGAAAAGTACTCTGACTTAGTACAGTCTGTCTTGTCATTCAGAGGCCCTGCTCAGACTCCAGAATCGTTGTTCGAGGAAGATTCTTTACTCTATGGACCTGTGAGTAAGTGTAAACCCCCAAAGCAAGATGAGGAAGCAAGAGTTCCAGGAAACTGGTTTCCTCTCTTCAATCCAGAGAGAAGCTGCAAACCAAATGCAACAAGTGCTGCGACAGTTCCTTTGAAAATCCCTTTGCAAAGGAATAAGATACCAAGTGTGACCCGGGTCCTTCAGCAGACCATGACATCAGAACAGATTTTCTATTTGGAGAGGTGGAAGCAGCGGATGATTCTGGAACTGGGAGAGGATGGCTTTGCAGAATATACTTCAAGTAATTTTCTTAATCCTGGTTCTATATTGTTAATATGTTTTCTAGAATGTACAGCACTAGTGTCATTCTTTTAAGTTTTTTTTTAAGCCTTAACTAGTGAGGAATTACTTTCAGATAATATTAGCTTTAAATAGCACTGAGTGTTTAACTCAATCCTCATGACAACTTTATAAAGCATAGATACTATTATCCCCATTTCACAAATGAAACAAGCATAGAGATCAAGTATTTTGACTAAATGATGTGTAAAATTTATTTATTTTATAAGCTACAAACTTAAGTATTAGAATTGCCTGTTTTCTTTGATTATGGAAAGGAGTCAATCACCTGATAATGGAACTATAGTTGTTTGCTAGGCATTCTGTTCAGAATGTACATAACCCTCGTTCTACTTATCAACATAGACTGACAAGCCAGACTAATGGAATTAAAACAATAAGCCTGAACATATCATCTGTATTTAGTTCTTGGTAAATTGAGATAATCAGATGCTCTTGATTAGGAACTGAGAATAAATAAACTTTAGCCTTCAACTCCTAACTTACTAGACAAGTGAAGAGACTAACTTCCTTTAAACAGATTCCATTCAAAAGCAAGATAAAAAGACCATTGCACAGGTGAATTAACTGATCCTCATCAGGACTGTGTAGTTGTCTTTTCTTAAAGCTAAGTTTTACATTGATCATTCCTTAGACCAGTGGTCGCCAACCTTTCAGACCTCACTGACCACCAGTGGTCCGCAGACCACCGGTTGCGGACCTGTGCCTTAAACTATGCTTCCCAGAGAGCAGTATATCTCCCCCAAGTGGTTGTACACAAGCACTTTTTTAAGAGTAATGCAATTATTTTGAAGCATCTTAGAAAAAAAATGCATGTGTGCATACATGTTAAACAAGTAGTTACATGTGTTTTAAAGAAAAGTAAATCGTGTAATTTTTAATTATTTAGAGGTTTTTTTTTTAATATATTTTATTGATTTTTTACAGAGAGGAAGGGATAGAGATAGAGAGTTAGAAACATCGATGAGAGAGAAACATCGATCAGCTGCCTCCTGCACATCTCCTACTGGGGATGTGCCCGAAACCCAGGTACATGCCCTTGACCGGAATCGAACCTGGGACCTTTCAGTCCGCAGGCCGACGCTCCATCCACTGAGCCAAACCAGTTTCGGCTATTCAGAGTTTTTTAGAATATTTGTTTTTTAGTACTAGTTTGATCTGTTTTTTGTTTTGTTTTTCCTTTTCCCTTGATTTTTTTTTTTTTTTTTTAGACTTATTTTTACAAGGGAAACAGTTCCATGAAGCCTTGGAAAGCATACTTTCACCCCAAGGGAACTTAAAAGAGGGAGATGAAAATCTTGAGTCTGGCTACATCGAAAGCATCCAGCATATTCTGAAAGATGTCGGTCGAGTTCAAGCTCTTGAAAGTGCTGTTCAACATGAGACCTTAAAGTATGTAGGTCTGCTGGACTGTGTGGCTGAGTATCAGTAAGTATTAGATTGTTTTTATGAAAGTATGTAAAAATTATACATTAATGCAGGGTGGGACAGATGGTGCCTACTTTTTCCTCTTAACTCCTACTTCAAGGTACTGAAGCCTCTGTTAAGTCAAAACCTGTGTGATAGGTAAAAGAATTGGATAAGGATGGATACAGAGGGAAGAGCGACATAATCCTTGTAAATCTGTTTTCCAAAATCAAAATGTTTGGTGGAGAAAAGATAACTTTTTTTCCCTCTTTATTTTTTTTGAAGATAACTTTTCAATATCCCTAGGATGGCCTGTTTTCTAGCATGTTCTCCTCCCCTCCCCCCAAGCCAGGTACCAGCCATGAGATCAAATTTGATTCCTGGATTTTATTTCCTGTTCCCTAAAAATAGCATCTTGATCTGTTAGCCACACCAGCTGGGCCAAAAAAAAAAAAAAGTGGCAGGATTTTTTTTAAATATATTCTTATTGATTTCAGAGAGGAAGGGAGTGGGAAAAAGAGATAAAAACATAAATGATGAGAGAGAATCATTCATCGACTGCCTCCTGCACGCCCCCTACTAGGGATGGAGCTCGAAACCCAGGCATGTGCCCTTGACGAATGGAACCCAGGATCCTTCAATCCGCAGGCTGACGCTCTATCCACTGAGCCAAACTGGCTAGGGCAGGATTTTTTATTTTTTCTCAGAGAGGAAGGGAGAGAGAAACATCATTGATGAGAGGATCATTGATGGGCTGCCTCCTGCATGCCCCTTACTGGGGGGACTTGAGCCCGAAACCCAGGCACATGCCCTTGGCCAGAATCAAACCTGAGACCCTTTAGTCCACAGGCCAACGCTCTATCCAGTGAGCCAAACAGGCTAGGGCCAGGATTTTTTTTTTTTTTTTTAAGTGTTGATGGATTTGAACCCCAGCCTTGGTTTATGAGCAAGAGAATTTCTAAAGCTCCAGGATGTTTAGTCTTTTATGTTGAGGACTTTGCTACTGGTCTATGGTGGTTCATTCTGATCTGATAGACATTTGAAGCAAAATCAACTAAGGTAATAATAGGTGTAGCTTCAATTCCCCTGTCACTTGTTAAAGGAAAGGAGGCCTTGGAGGTTCCGAGGCATTTCGAGAATGTATAGAAACTTGAACTGTGGAAATGTTATTTCCCAGCACTCCCACCATGGGTCTGCACCTGTGGATCTCACCGGTGCAATTTAGGGAACATTTTCATCAAACTCTTGACAGGCTCATTTACTGAATAAAGGGCTCAAAGCAAAGAGAAGGTCAGATCTTTCTATCCTAAGAGGTTAAAGCTCAGAGGAGCTGTCTTTTTGGCAGGTGGAGAATAGAAACAACAGTCATTGAGTGACAAGTAGTAAATTACACGTAAGAGGGTTAACCTAATAGAGCTTTTTGGTTTTAACTATTACCTACAAAGATTTTCCTTTGGTTTCTCTTTAGAGGCAACCTGTGTGTGATTGATTGGAAAACATCGGAAAAACCAAAACCTCTTATCCGAAATACATTTGACAATCCGCTGCAGGTTGTGGCATACATGGGTGCCATAAACCATGATGCCAACTATAGCTTTCAGGTCAGGACACTGAGCCTCTGCTCAAAGCTTTGCTCAACACTTGTTTAAAGCTATTTAACTCATTATGGTTCTTATTCTGTGTGTAGCCCACTGCTTACTTTGTTCCTTGTCTATCTGCCACTTTAAAAAGCACTTTTCCCCTTCTGCGGCTTTTTGCTGTTGTTGCTAATAGTTCTTTAATGATGACAGTCCATTCTTCAAAGCATTATCTGTCATCTTTGTGTTCTTGTGTATCCTGGAGCAGTCTTTCATCAGCCCATCTTAGAAATTGAGTTAGCAGATGTGACTGTAGATTGTTTTGTTCTGAGTTTGCCCTGGAGTAAGAAGGAAATTAACCTAAACTCACTCAGCCTACTGTGTTTCTTCTAGGTTCGGTGTGGTTTAATTGTGGTGGCCTACAAAGATGGATCCCCTGCCCACCCACATTTCATGGACACAGAGCTGTGTTCCCAGTACTGGGCAAAGTGGCTTCTTCGACTAGAAGAATATACAAAAAAGGAAAAGAACCAGAATATTCAGAAACCAGATTAGGGGCAGGATGTTATTTGGAAGCATTCAGCACTTTCTCACAGTTTGGGAAAACATATTGCTGTTTACTGTGACCTAAGATGGAGGTCCCACTGGATCTGAGAGCTGCTTTAACACAAAGCAGAAATATTAATTTGTTAAAATTTATTGCGATAAAAAAGAAAAAGACTAAAAAGCCAGAAAAGTTTAGATATAAAAAACTGGACTTAAGCATACAAAAGATCAGCCATGCTACCTCTGACTATGATTTACTTGAAAAAAGGTCAAGCAGGATTGGCAGTGTTGGTGGCTCTTGGACCCCATGGAACCTCTCTGTGTCCTGGGCAGCCTGCCCAGTCTTTGAACTAAAATTGGAGGGCAATGAGGCTTGGTGTGCCAAGCATTTCCCCAGGGTTACACCACAAGGGAAGGGGCATGGCAGTCCCAGGGTGTATGGAGGGGGAACTCACATCAGCCAACTACTACTGCCAACACAGTTTCCTAGAACTTGTTTTATATATTGGGGTTCTCTATAGATTTCTTTGGGAACGAAAACTTCCATTTAACATTTTTGAAAAAGAAATATGTGACTCCTTAGCCTCGAATAAATAATTGCTCTGGAGAAAGATAGAGCATATTCACCATATCATTGGCATTGCCCCTTGGCATACCACCAAATAACCCCGAGAAGTAATTGTAGGTATTTTAGTAGTTATATTCTGCTTTGAGTAATTGAATCATGTCCATAGAGAAAATGTATCATTTGTGGAATTTTTCAGCTATGGGAAACAATACATTTTTAGGGGGTGTTTGATAAATAATAAAACTATTAGTTGTCACTGGGTTTGGGAAACAAGTAAATCCCCACTATAGCCTTGGGGGATGGGTCCCTATTTTATGGAGTGGGTTAGCATTTAAGTTACAGTTACTATTTTAAAATCATAGGTTGCTACAATTAATTTGTTTCTTTCAGTAGCCATAATTATAAATAAAATACAAGATGTGAGTAAAATAATGAGGTTTTTGGTTTTTTAATTTCTGTGTTTATAGATTAATTTCACAAACCTGGAAAATGTTTAGACTTTGTTTTTATATTCAGAATTATACCACTGGCCCAGTAGCTTTGGTATGTGTTTTATGTAAATGAATACAAGGAGGTGACCTGAATCAGTTACCTGTCAAGGAAAGTAAGGTTCAGTTGGGAGAGAGGAGGCTTGTGGGTGACCATTTATTGACTCTATACACATCTACATTTTTTAAAATAGCATATCCTATCTAATAAAAGAGAAACATGGTAATTGGCGTACGACCGCTACCCTTCCCATTGGCTAATCAGGGCAATATGCAAATTAACTGCCAGCCAAGATGGAGGCCGGCAGCCAGGCAGCTTGAAACTAACATGAGGCTTGCTTGCTTCAGTGACGGAGGACTCCAACGTTACCTGCCTGCCACTGCAGGCCTCTGAGCTGCAACTCTAAGCAACTATGTAACAAATAAAGAAGCTAAACAAAACCCCAGCTAAACAAAGTCCACCGGGCTTCAGCCAGCAGGATCACAACATTGTAAGCAAAGGCCAGAAACCTACTTTCAGCAGCGGAGGCCTAAGAGCTGGAGCCAAGCCTCAAAGCTAAAGCTGGCCCAGAAGAAAAAAGAAAAAAAGGAGCAGTTGGGAGCTTCAGTCCCCCCCAGCCTGAAAACAGCCCTCAGCCCCTCACCCAGACTGGCCAGGCACCCCAGTGGGGACCCCCACCCTGAAGGGTGTGTGACCAGCTGCAAACAGCCATCATCCCCTCACCCAGGCTGGCCAGACACCCCAGTGGGGACCCCTACCCTGATCCAGGACACCCTTCAGGGCAAACCAGCCGGCACCCACCTGTGCACCAGGCCTCTACCCTATATAGTAAAAGGGTAATATGCCTCCCAGCACCGGGATCAGCGTGATGGGGCAGCGCCCAAACCCCCTGATCGCCCTGCGGCTCTGTGTGTGACGGGGGTGGGGGGGCCACAACCTCCCTATCCACCCTGCTCTGTTCGTGACAGGGGAAGGCGCCCCAACCCCCTGATCAGCCCTGCTCTGTGCCTGATAGGGGGGAGCTCCCCAACCCCCTGGTCACCCTGCGGCTCTGTGTGTGACAGGGTGTGGCACCCCAACCCCCTGATCAGCCCTGCTCTGTGTGTGACAGGGTGCGGCGCCCCAACCACCTCCCCCCCCCCCACGGGCCCTGCTCTTTGTGTGATGGGGTAGAGCCATAACCTCCCCATCGGCCCTGCCCTGAGTGTGACAGTGGCGGCGCCCCAACCCCCTGATGGGCCCTGCTCTGTGCATGACAGGGGGAAGTGCCCCAACCCCCTGATTGGCCCTACTCTGTGCGTGACAGGGTACAGAGCCCCAACCCCCCTGATGGGCCCTGCTCTGTGAGTGACAGGGGGCAGTGCCCCAACCCCCTGATTGGCCCTGCTCTGTGCGTGACGGGGTGGCGCCGCAACCTCCCCATCGACCCTGCCTTGAGTGTGACAGGGGGCGGTGCCCCAACCCCCCAATCGGCCCTACCCTGAGCGTGACTGAGGGTGGCATCACAACCTCCCGATCACCCTGCTCTGTGCATGACAGGGGGAGGCGCACCAACTCCCCAGTCGGTCCTGCTCTGAGCCCGACCAGGGGCTGCACCTAGGGATTGGGCCTGCCCTCTGCCACCCGGGAGCAGGCCTAAGCCAGCAGGTCGTTATCTCCCAAGGGGTCCCAGACTGAGAGAGGGCACAGGCCGGGCTGAGGGACCCCCCTTCCCCCCGAGTGCACAAATTTTTGTGCACCGGGCCTCTAGTATTCTATAACCTGTAATATCCAAAGTCAGGAATCAAGTGAGAAAATTAAAAATTGTACCAGCAGATTATTTTTCCACGCTGCTCTAATAAGTTTCACCCTGGGATTTAGGAAACCAGAGCCAACAAGCCTTCATTTTAATACGGTTCTGTTGAGTTAACAGAAATTCACTTTGACCCAAGCTAATGGTGGTATGAAAAGTTCCATAAAGATCCTTAGAGCCTAATCAAGAAGACATGGTTGGTAGAACAGTCAAGGTAAATCCCTAGGTAGGTTTCCCTGAACCCCAATTTCTCACTACAATCCCGGTAAATTTCACATCTCACCAATTAAAGAAATCTCAATCCTTTGAGAAGGAAATGTTGATAAGGAAAAAAAGTTATTTTCACTACTAAGGTATAAGAGGAGAAAGCCAAATCTGAGTTTCTAAACGAGTCATAACTTTTTAAGAATTAACATGTAGCCAAAACCGGTTTGGCTCAGTGGATAGAGCGTCGGCCTGCAGACTGAAAGGTCCCGGGTTCGATTCCGGTCAAGGGCATGTACCTTGGTTGCGGGCACATCCCCACTGGGGGGCGTGCAGGAGGCAGCTGGTCAATTTCTCTCATCGATGTTTCTAACTCTCTATCCCTCTTCCTTCTTCTCTGTAAAAAATCAATAAAATATGTTAAAAAAAAAAAAAAAGAAATTGTGAAATGAAACAAGATTTGTAATGAGTCTCCAAATTGAGGTAATTAAAAAAATTTTAAAGATTCTTTTCTAAAGGGGTTACCTCACAGAAGTACAAAAGGTAACCTTATAGATTTGAGCTTTGAGATAGTCCATTAGATTTAAAGCTGCATTTCATTCTGCAATTCTACACTTGCTTAATGCATTTAATAAGACTGCATTTAATGAAGCTGCCAAAGCTCCAAGCCGGTACTAAGAGCCAATTTTTTTCAAAAACAAAATTTTTTCCAGTCTAGCCAGTGTGGCTCAGTGGTTGAGCATTGACTATGAACCAGGAGGTCACATTTCAATTCCCAGTCAGGGCACATGCCCAGGTTACAGGCTCAATCTCCTATATGGGATGTGGAGGAGGCAGTCGACCCATGATTCTATCTTATTGATATTTCTATACCTCTCAGAAATCAATAAAAATACTTTTTTTTAAAATTTTCCCCTCAGACCTGGCCTCTTGCTCAGAGCTATTAATACCTGTTAATCTGAGAATATTCTTTCTATAAACCCATTATAGTTCTAGGAAAATGAGTGAACATATGACCTATGGTTTTATATTTGTTGAGGAAGAGGGTTTAGTCATAGGTCAATGTGTTTCCAGGTAACCAATTTGCCTACCAGCTTTAAAAGGGTTGGAGAGGGGTAATTTGTTTTAATCACTGTGTCTTTCCACCTGAGCAATTAAACATTTTATTATAACCTACCCTACCTTTTGTCTCCCAGACACACACAAAAGTGAAGCAAGGAAATAGTTGGAACTATTTTTTTTAAATAAATACTTCAATTATTTGGAGCTTGTATCCTAAAGAGAAACACTGTCTTAAACCAATCAATTACTAAGTACAGAGCAGAACCGATTCTCCTTGCCTCCCTCCCTTCCTTCCAGCCTCTGAGGCCTGCAGGTTAAGCAAAGAGATGTGCTGTTGCTGGAAGCGGAACCTGTGAACCTTTAAAGTTATACTATATAAGGGAGCTTGAGAGAATCTCTTTAGGGAGATCTCCCTGATTATTGCCTTGACAATAACAGTGGTCAGGTTTGAGTAATACACGTGTGAATCCAATCATAAAATGATGTTCTGGGTTAGGGGTTCCTTTATGATCAAGATTGGGAGGTGCGGGTCGGCCCTAGCCGGTTTGGCTCAGTGCCTGCCGATGGAAGGGTCCCAGGTTCGAGTCTGATCAAGGACACATGCCAGGGTTGCTGGTTCCATGCCCAGTGGAAGGCATGCAGGAGGCAGCCGATCAAGGATTCTCATCATTTTTCTATGAAACTATTCTTCTCTTTCTTTTTTTTTTAAAAAATATATATTTTATTGAGTTTTTACGGAGAGGAAGGGAGAGAGATAGAGAGTTAGAAACATCGATGAGAGAGAAACATCGATCAGCTGCCTCCTGCACATCTCCTACTGGGGATGTGCCCGCAACCCAGGTACATGCCCTTGACCGGAATCGAACCTGGGACCTTTCAGTCCGCAGGCGGAAGCTCTATCCACTGAGCCAAACCGGTTTCGGCCTATTCTTCTCTTTCAATGTGTTTAATTTTGGAGTGATATTTTTCTTGTGACAGAGTTGCAAGGTCTTATTTATTAACTAGATATGAAGTGTAAACCCATTTTGGTGCAATATTCCTGACTCCTTGGTGCTAAAAAAATCATTAAATTCAGTGCTTGATTGTTACAAGGTGTTGTTAAGACACAAAATGAATAAAAATGAGAGTAGTCAGAACCAGAAGGTTAAATTTGCTGTTTACAAATGAAGTATTTCATGTAATGTAAATGAACAACTGGAAATCCACTAAGAAAGAGAAGTTGTACAGTGTCTTATTGCATAGGTCAAATTGTTAGGGGTGTTGCACAGGAATCATTATGGGAAGAGAAAATGTAACCTCCCCCCCAAATCAAAAAACAAAAAAAACGAAAAAACGAAAGCATGAATCTTTCTAAGCATCTCAAGATGTCAAAACTGCATGTGCAGGATGTATGCTGTTTGTGCAGGCCAACTATTTCAGAATATTTGTAAACTATAAAATATTTATTGTGCATTAAAATTACATACTTTTCCCCCAAAAGGTATGCAGTCATGAAAATTATAGAAAATTTG